GTTAAGCGTTGTCACTTCATCAAAAGCATTTTCTTTGAACAGAGACCAGAGTGTCAACGCTTGTACACGCCACCCTTTATTCTGGCTCCAATTAAAGACAAGCAGACCGAATTGGGGGAAACGTTTGGAGAGGCCTCTCAGAAATACAATGTCTTGTTTGTTGGTTACTGTTTGTCTCACGACCAGCGCTGGCTGCTGGCCTCCTGCACTGACCAACATGGAGAACTGCTGGAGACCTGTGTCATTAGCATTGATGTCCCGAATAGGTATGTAGTCATGTGAACTAATGCTTTTACATGACTTTTTCCTTTGAAATAACATGTAACATGTTTTTTGTACTCAGGGCTCGTCGGAAAAAAGGCTCTGCCCGGCGACTGGGCTTGCAGAAGCTCTGGGACTGGTGTCTGGGTCTTGTGCAAGTGACATCATTGCCTTGGAGGGTTGTGATTGGACGACTTGGCAGAATGGGTCATGGAGAACTGAGAGGTGTGGTGGTTAAATACTGTTTAATATTGAGCTGTCACTTTTAACTTGGACTTATCTGTTTTCATCTTGTCTTAAAGACTGGAGTATTCTGCTTAGTAGAAGAAATCTGCAGTCCCTCAGTAAACGTCTGAAAGAAACATGTCGAATGTGTGGCATCTCTGCCTCGGACACTCCCAGCATCCTTAGTGCCTGTTTGGTTGCTATGGAGCCACAGGGTTCCTTTGTAATTATGCCAGGTATATAAAATTAAGAAAATGCCTTATAATTTCATCTGTCTTGTGAATTCCTTAAAAACCAGAGTGTGTGTTGTCTTTAGATTCAGTTTCGACAGGTTCTGTGTTTGGCCGCAGCACCACTCTCAACATGCAGACATCGCAGCTGAGCACTCCTCAGGACACTTCCTGTACACACATTCTAGTGTTCCCAACCTCAGCCATGGTGCAAGTCAACACTAACACCACTGAGCCCATCGACATTAACTTTAACCCCATAAATGGTATGTTTTGAAATGCATTCAAATACTTGTGAAGAAAGTTGTTAAGAAGTAATCATCACAATGTATTATTGTGCTGTGTTATTGCAGATGGATCGGACGGGATGGGTTTCTTTGACCTGTTTGATAATGATATGGTGGATCAAGACCTCATCAACATACTTCCAAACTCTCCCACCACCTCTCCTGTCCATTCTCCGGGCTCGCACTACCATCAAGGTGGTGACGGCAGCAAGGTCAGTGCTTTAAACAGTCAGCAATCACATGAAAAAATTCTGTAGCCTTGTTCAAAAATCAGTTCTATATGCTATATCAAGGATATATCAGTAGTATTAGTTTATTCAATTTTATATTATTTACAGATGTAAAGATCTAGAGTAAAGGTCTAGGTCTCAAGTAAGCCTGTCAGATCTTTGTGACATGTATGTGTTTTCTTCATTGAGTACATACAGCCACTTTTTTTTACTTTTAGAACTTGATTGCATTTACATTGAGCAATGACACATTTCCTAAATCCACAGTACATTTCAAGCATAAATTCATATCCCCTTTGAAAGCCAGTGTATTCACTTAAAGCTAGGGTACCAGGTTTTAAAGCGTGAAAGAAGGTTAAGGAATATAAGTTTTACATGGCTCCAACATATTCTTAGCTCTCACAACAGTGTAGTTGGCTATGAGTACAGGTAATGGGCATTGTAAAAAAATAAGCAAATACATTTTTCAAGTGTTTACAGGTATACATTTTTCAGGCAGTATGACTTTTCAGGGTCTATGAATTGTTTGTCTCATGGATGGAGGATATTGCCTGGAATGTTCAACAGTATGGCATTAAACCCTAACCTGGCTCAAACCAAACTGAAGTGTAGCACTCTAATGTATAGAACTCAATTCAATCTGGGATGGCTCTCCCTGAAAGCAAAAAACATGGAATATCATGATGACTATTTGAATCTGATTGTGTTACAATAGCGGAACAAGACGAAAAATCTATCTTTTGTTAAATACAGTTGAGAGAGCTGCACAGATATCTTACCTGTCCACAAATGCATAAAGCACTTGCCTTCACCTTCACTACCTGCTACCTGTTTTTCTATAAATAAAATGGTCTATATTGATGTTAAAATTGGCTGAAGTACGTCTTGTCAGCGTCACCATGTTTGTTTTGGTTCACTTGAGCTCTTCGCCTTTGCTGCTCTGTGAATGGTGTGCCAACCACCTGTCTGGCCATATCGCACCAGTGGAGGCATGCAAAGATGGATTCTTATTCTTCAAATATCACGAGAATCAATCTTGCTGTTCAAGATTATTTAAACCAATCTATTTTATATTTATTATTTATTCATCTACATGTCTTCTTAGACCTTAAAAATGCCTTGAAAAACATGAATTCGTAATGTCAGAGTGGCTATATCTCAACAGATCTGACCTGTGACTTCTTTCAGCTGGGTTACTTGCTTGTTCCTTATTGGTGGTGCACCGCTTTTTCAGATGACATAGCAGGGTAGACCACTGTTACAAAACTGGAGAAAATATGTGCAATTAAATTTCTTTGTGTAGACAGAAAGTGCTGCTTCATGGGGGAAAAAATATAAATGTATGCATTTACAAGGAAGAAGTCTGGTGCCACAGCTTTAGTTCTTTTAAATAGGTATAATTATTGGACATTTTCTTACAGTATTTATTATTATTTTATTGTTCTGTAGGGTCAAAGTGCAGACCGAATGGAGTCTCATGAAGAGGCTCTGAACATCTTGCAGCAGCCCATGGCTCTGGGCTACTTTGTTTCTACAGCCAAAGCTGGACCTCTGCCAGACTGGTTCTGGGCTGCCTGTCCTGAAGCCAAGGACCAGTGTCCGCTCTTTCTCAAGGTACTACTTAAACTACCTCAAACATACAATACAGCAAGTTAGTTAACTAACTGTTCACTTGATCTTGACATAGTCTACCAAGTGCTCTTTGAGATGGTGGGCACAATAGCATTTCATGAAGAAAAGAGAAATCCAATGCACATCTGATTTTTGACGTATTATAACTTTAATGTCAAAAAACGACACGTTTCCATTTATTTAAATATTTATTACCACATTGACAGTTTTTCAGGGCAGCCAACATTTAAACATTAAATCAACCATTCTGAGAAAACATATTAGTAAAATAAAACCATGGGCTCTACGCTTATGAACATGTACGTGCTATAATGATGTGAAATTATAATTTTTTAGTAGATGTAGATGTCTTGAGTACAATATTTACAGATCCTTATGTTTTAATAAATGTCATTTGTAACACACAAAATCCGTGAATGTAATGGGGCTCTTGTTTCTACAGGCTTCTTTGCACCTGCATGTGTCATCTGTCCAGTCAGATGAGCTGCTGCACAGTAAACACTCCCATCCTCTGGACTCAAGTCATACCTCGGATGTGCTCAGGTAAACCTTTTATATTAAAAAACAACTAGTATTTAATGAAGACTGATAATGCAAATAATTGTTTCTGTTACCAGATTTGTTCTGGAGCATTACAACGCCCTCTCGTGGTTGACATGTGACCCTGCCACTCAAGACCGCCGCTCTTGTCTGCCTGTTCACTTTGTGGTGCTCACACAAATGTACAACTTTATCATGAACATGCTCTGAAGCAGCATCAGGCAGAGGAGGTCTGATTGGACGCGCTCTCAGTGAAAACTAATGATGCTGAAACACTCTGCAGAGGGATGTGCGGAAAGCACACTCTCCATACTCGAGGAGAACTCACCAATCAGATGCCAAGGATCCATTTTAACTATTTGGATGATCAAGGGACGTTTCATAAAGGAGAATAAATTTTTATCGACTGTAGATTGCAATCTATGAAATTTTATCTTATGAAATGCCTGCATATATTATTTATTCTAAGTTTTTAAATGTGGAATTTTTAATGCTTAATATCTTTTATATATAAATATATATTACAAATCCTAGAGGGTGTGTACATCTCACTGTAAAGGAATTGGTTTGAAAAGTGTAATTTTCTCAGTAACATCATGGAAAAACTTTGTTGAAAGTGAACTTGCTGTAGATTGCTTTTAGAATCTTATTTTTTTCAAAGGGGTGCTGACCTTTTTATTGCCATGCTGTAAAAAAATGAAGTACGGTGGTTTGGGCATTGAAGTCCCACCCAGCGAGTGGATGAGACTTACCTCTGTCTGCTTCAGCTCCAGAGTCTCCTGCACAGTTACTTGATGAGCTCTGAAGAATAATTAAAAGGTACATTGTCAGATGATATATTTTATATAACAGATTTAGGTAATTGTGTGTGTGTATATGTGTACATATAATTGTGTGCCGCTACTGATGGTGCAGCTTCTGTTTTAGGAATAAAGTGCGTCTACCTTAATGTCTTGGCTTAAGTCTTTTTGAGAGACATAATTGACCATTAAAAAATTTATCTCTTCATAATTTTACAGCAAATTGTAAAATGGCATAACGTTACAAAAATCTTAACATTAAAACATGATGCTTCTCTACACAACAGATGCAGTAGAAACAGTAGTGTGTGTTTGGTTTAACAATGCTTAAAACATTTTTAATGACACGGGAGCTCAACATGATTGGTTTGTAAGGCTGGCATGAACCCACGAAGGAGAGAGTGTATGGCATCACGAAGCCTCATCCAATCAGCATTGTATGTTGTAACTAATGGGATCCACTTAGAGCTTAGCCCAATTTGTCTGGGACTGGTCAGGACTCTTGTGGCACTTCAAGCCTTTCAAATTCAATATTTACAATGATTCCCCTTACAGCTCTGATAACTGCATATAGACCTGTAGGGCTCATTTTATAGTCTGTTAAAGAACAATTACATTGTTATTTCAAGCCTGTTGGTTTGTTTCTTTGCAGACTATCACACACATTTATTTAATTATCTAAAGGGTATGAGGTTTAGTGAGCTGATTGGATTACATTAAGGTTTTAGGAGTAGTTAAGTCTTTTTCAGTGCTGGTAAGTAACAAACTGATTTGGTGCAGATGAAGTGTGTTCTTCGTCAGAGGCACTTAACACTGAATACAACCTGTGTAGGACCAGAGCGGTTCACGCAACCATGTAAGTAACAGAACGTATATAAGTAAGTAGTATTTATAATATTATATTATTATTATAACAGTTTGTAACAAGGTAATGCTATATTATTATTGCTTACTGCTTTGAAAATTACAAAAGCATTACATGATAGAAAGATAATTGGATAATACAATATTCCTCTAGCGACATAAAATTATGGTAAAACATCAAACTACTAAGGCGAGTAGACATAACATTTGGTCATAAAGGTTTTTGTTTATGATTTATTTATTATTGAAGTATAATGTAACTAGCTTGGTCCACTGTATAAGATGACCTCACCTCAGGCTTCTGCTCAATCACTTTTGTTTGAGCTCGAAACAGACAGATTAGTTATGAGATTAAGGGATTCCTGTGGCACACTGAACCAATCTTGTCTTTCTAAGAGCAGAGATCCAACCAACGGATTGATGCTGATACTTAAGTGAAAAGGGTCTTCAACTGATTGACAAAAATATAAGCCATTCATATGTCATGTTTAGTGATATGTTTTTATAACTTGCAATCAATACAGCACATTCTTTATTTGTCCTTGGGGCATATGCAGGCACACTGAAGCCACAACGGGTTCAGAAGTAGATAATCTGAGTTAGTAGAAATTTGATTTTTTTTTTTTTTTTTCAGTCGTCAGGTCTGCTTACCTGACCAGCCAGTCCCTTCTACATTCTGTTTGAATCCTAATCTACTCATTTTTGTAAAGTTTTGTCAAAGTGTGAGGTTCTGCCTTGTCAGGTAACACATCCACATAATACAGACTTTATACAGAATACAGAACATTTTCTAATTATAAGGTTCAGTGTCACAAATTTCTTACCTTTTCTTTGTAGATTATTAAGCATTTTTAATTGAGCATAAAGTATTAAGCATAAGGAATTAATTAATTCACAAGCTCCATCCACAAAACAAGTCATACGAAGTCATTCAAATCCTCAGTAAGTAAATTATATATGGCATTTCCACATTATATAATTAGTCAAAATAATAACACTGGAACCCTTAATCACCTGCAGAAGCAGAGCAAATGGGGACCCATGCATGTTTATATAGCATGGCAGATTTATTACAAGGAACAACAAATGGTAAGAATTGTAGTACTCTGTGTGTGTGTGTGTGTGTGTGGGGGGGGGGTTCTGTGTGGCTTCCTCTAAACAAATTCTTTGACAAAATTATCTATTGCTTATTATTTTTTAATTATATTTTTGTTCGTAGAAATCGCCACTTAAATATAAGAGTATGCATCAAGAACTGGCAACAATAAATGACCCTTTTGTACAATGTAATGTAGGTGTGTGATGTTGGACAGATCATTATGAATAATACTAATAGTTACTATTTTTGCATTTAGATACAAACTCACTCACTCTCAAGTCAAAATGCTACAACTGGAGGCAACAGTACAGGCTACAATGGTACAGGAAGTGCCACACAGAGTATCCCAGCACCTTTAAAGACAAGAGGCAAAAGCAAGAAGGACAAGACACTTCTGAGATCTCTGTCAGTAAGGACTTTCTGTCACAAATGATATCAGATTTGAACATGAGAGTTTTTTACTCCAATAGTGGAAGATGGAATAATCCTCTACCGTCCATTCACTAACTAAGTGTAAATCAGATGTTCTGTCACCAGATGCCATCAGTGGATAAATATATACTGCTGGTGAGTTCAGGAACACCTTTTTTCTGCCCCCAAGTTTTCACTCAAGATTTTAAGAAGTCTTTAATTCAAGCATCGGGGGAAACTTCAAAGTGCAGCATTTGTCGATTCTACCAGCCTCATTATGGGCTTATGACAACTACTGGTTTGGGTTTAGAACACTGTCTGCGCAGCCAGTGTATGGATAAATATACATTTATGTGAGAAGTTGTATAATATTAACTTAATAAATATAATGATTGTCTGGATTTTTGGGGACTGGTGAGATCAGTCAACCCTCTCTGAGAATTACTTTACAGTGATATATCTATGTTATAGGTGTAGTAGTGTACACAGTGTCCAACTTCTAACATTTTAGATTATAATGTAATAGAACTACTGCAATTACTTGACCAATTAGTTTAGAAAATACTGAAAACAAATTAATGACAATGTTTCTTTCTATAAAAATTCTATTTAAAACTGTGAACAGGAATATTGAACAATTATCAAATACAAATAAGTACAAATGCAAATATACTAATTAGAATGTCATCTTTTGACTACTGAGTATAAAAAAGCAAATAAAATCAGTTGATAAAATGATAAAGGTTTCAGCATAGGTGTTATGACGTGAACCTGCTTTTCTCTGCAGTAAGTCCAACAAAGTGCAAAAATGACACAGATTCAGATAAAACCATAGTAAAAAACATGAGAGTAAAATAAAAAAAATGTCACTTATAACACTAAGAAAAAAACATTTAAAGTATAATACAAAAATATTGCCGTGAGAAGCTTCTACACCACATCCATCCCCAAACCTCTGGCCACCTCTGTCAGGGCCTGCACAGCTCCAGACGTCCCACCATTGGTGCAGTCGTCCTGGGACAAGTGCCCAAGCTCCTCCTCCTCTAAGTGCGGGACAGTGTTCATGACACAGTACATGGGGGAGTCACAGGGACTGGCCTGAGAGGGTGTGTCCTCCTCCCCTGACAGCTGTGAGGAGTATGAGGAGGAGCAGGATGAAGGAGAGGATGATCCCACGGGAGAACTCTCAGGTGGGACAGAGGACTTCCTGTTACGACTGGTGCTGGCTCTTGGACTTTTGCGTACGTTCTGAGGCTTTTTTGCCATGTTCTTCATAATCTCTTTAGTCACCTCCACAGTCTCATAGCGCACCATATTCACTTTGAGAAAACCATCAATGTCCTTTTTATATCTAAATGAGAGAGGTCAGAGTATACAGTTATTTGCGAAATATAAAAACCCTGTTTTCTGTGTTTACAGGATTTAATAATTCTGGGCTTAATTAAGGACAACTTGCCTATATATTCTTTCTTGGTAGTGTTTTACTAACAATGTTGTAATACTCAGTGTACACTACTGTATTTTACATCATCAGTAAAAATTGTTTGTTCAAACCTGAAGCGAGAATGTCCGGAGGGCCACTTAAGCTCATGTTTCTTGCGCAGGTGCAGTGTGAGGGTGTAACACCAGGAGAAAACCTTATCACAAATATGGCATTTATACTTAGACATACCACCAGCCTGCAACAGAAATTTGTAAGCATATGTAAGCAACCAAGTTTACACAGTCATGATTTACTATAGTGCATTTATGCACAGTAGTACTAGTAAATCATTTTCATGGAAAGGTCTTCCAAAATCTTTGTTAGATATTATTATTATTATAATGCATCCGTTTTACAGAGCACTTTTTTGGACACTCAAAGATGCTTTACAGAGCTTTATTCATTCACTCCATACCCAGTGGTTGTAAACTACTATTGTAGCAACAGCTGCCCTGGGGCAGACTGACGGAAGCGAGGCTGCCAATCTGCACCGTTGGCACCTCCGACCACCACCATCACTCACGCATACACCGCTTTCATACTAGGCAATGAAGAAAAGCCCTGCCTCAGAACACACACAACAACAGTTTTTTACGACTGGTGCCCCACTGTGGCACCTGATTTTCCCAGCGGTCTCCCATCCAAGTACTAACCAGGCCCAGCCCTGCTTAGCTTCTGAGATCTGACAGGATCAGGTTTTGAAAAGCCAATATGGCTTAAATTTAAATATATACTTCCTCTGTACATGGGTTGAAAATTGGATATTGGAGCTTTAACTTTGACAGATACAAACCTCATGGACTCTTTTGAAGTGATGATTCATAGTCTGAAAGGTATGGCAGGCATAGTCACAGCCTTCAACAGTGCACTGATACACTGAACCCTCATTATGGATCTCTGAGTGCTTCTGCAGATCACGCTGGTTTTTAAATCTGTATGTGAAATTATACTACGTATGATTAATTACAATTACTTTAGTAGCACTTAAAAACACCTTGTGTGTTCTTGTTATTCATCTCTATGTGATGCAATTATTTATGGTCAAGATGTACCTTTTGTCACAGAAATCACATGGAAATGGTCGCTCATCACAGTGACGAAACCTGATATGTATTTTCAGGGCTGCGAGAGTGGTGCAGGTCATGTCGCAGAGGGGACATTTCACCTGATTCACTTCACATTAACCCAGAGGAAAGAAGTCAAATTAGTTTTGACCTATGTCGAATTGCCTTGATGTTCAGCAGAATAATTATATTTACCATGTTGGCGGACGTGGTCCCGTAGAAGCCTCTCATTAGAAAAAGCTTTCCCACAATGTTCACACACAAGTGCCTCTAATTGAGTACAAAAGAAAAAGTTAGTGTTATACATAATTCATTCCATTTAAAAGTGTTTTGAAAAATGTCTACCAATTGGCGCAGCCTGTCTGTGGAGGTGGTCAAACAACTTTGTGTTGCTCGAGAACATGCTGCCACAGGTGGGACAAGCCACAAGCTTTTCCTGAGTGTGAGTGCGCACATGCTCCCTAAGACGGTAACGGATCTTGAAGAAAGCATCACAGCCTAAATATAAAAACAACAATACAGATTGAGATGTAATTATCAAGAAGAATACTTCATGTAAATAAAATATGCCTATACAATTAAAATGAGAAAGCCAAGACTTACCTGTCCAGTGGCAGAACAGGGCTAGTTGTTGCTGAGGTTCATTAACAGACTGAGGTTCAGAACTTTCAACATGATTGTCCACATGACGATAAAACCACTCAGGATTATCAAACGAGCTCTGTTCAGCAAAATTAAAAATTGTGTTTAATTGACCATCATCCTGACAACATGCAGACATGTACAAATACGAACATCACAGTGTTCCCATTGACAAACAAATCCTTCCGATCCTTCCGGGATAAGGTTGTTGCTGTGAGTGCTCAGGGTGCAGCTCGGCAAGTCATGCCGTTGCTTTAGCAGTTGTGAACCAGCATATTTGAGTTTACTGTGGTAGTTGTGGAAGTAAGCATGAATCTCCAATTCTCGTGGACTACCCATGGAGAGAAACTCACAACCATCCCACAAGCACGCATACTCATCTGGACACACGTAGAAATGAAGAACTTATTAGGCAAATACAAAATGACCACAACATAGACCTGTGAGAACTGTTAATGAAGGGGGCTTACCCAGCTCTTCCGCTGTATCCTTGTCTCCCAGATAGTCCTTCAAATGCTGGGACATGTGGACACTCAGGTCTTCCATGGTGTAGCCCGTGAAGCCGCATGAAGCCCACCCACACACCACTTCAAACTTCTCCAGTCTTTTAGTGGACATTATGGCGGGAGAGGACTACCTGGCGAGAGGTGACCCCAGCAGGGTCTTCTAAAAAAATGAATACAATTTTAAAACAACAGCTGTAAAACACACAAACTACACCTGATCCTGAAAATACTAATTGTGATGAGTTTTAAAATAAAAAAAGAGCTAAATAAATAATCAGTTTGGTACACTCATTCTTATCTCACAAGAAGCTACGACAGTAATGTTAGGTGAACATGTCATTTTGAAGCCTTCTGTCTTTTTTCTGAACTTTTCTCTAGTATGGAGAAAAATTTGACTGAAAAAGCTAAATTTGACATCGTCCATATTATATTTAAATTTCTTACAAAACCGTTGGAGAGTTAGGAGCTGCCCACTGCGCTCTCACTCTTCCCTCCTTGTGTGGTTTTGTTTACTTCCGACTATAGCGGAAGTGACGATTCATTGCACTGAGCTATCATTGGACCATACTGTCCCCTGCTGGTGGTTTTAATTTCTCCCCTTTCTCAGTTTGACCTGAATTCAATGCAACCTGCAAGTCATCATTCGTTATACGCTCTCTCTGCAAAAACTTCGTCGTATCGTATGACACTACAGTTATTAGACTACAACACTATATTATTTCAAAAAGATTTGCATTGAATCCTCAAAGTCATGTCCCAACCTCTTTCTCACAGTCCCGCAGCTCAGACTCCTTATAATATAAAATTCAATAGGCTGTATTGAAGTCTATTGGATTCTGATAGTGGGCTTTTGTCAATTTTATCTCCAAGCACAATATTTCAAATGTAACTAGAGGCCTAGTTATTTTTATGTAGCCAGCTTTGTGCTATGAAAGCTAGTGATCTGATGCTGCTTTAATCCAACCTTTAACTGTTTAAAGAAGTCCATATTTTACAAGTGTGCAAATTTAAGTATTGCTATTCAAAATATTTGATTTATTAAAGTGTGATGTGCAACAAATATATTTAGGGGAGGATTGCCATAACATTTTTCCATATGCATAATATCCATTAAGCCCTTTTTTTTTTTTTTTTTTTTTTTTTTTTTTTTTTGATGTACAACCTAAAATGTGACAGTTGGTTTAAATGTATCAGGAAAAAGACAACAGCGGCTAACTAGTTGGAGAGATTGTACAGAGTGTATTAACCAGAAGTTTGGTAGACCAGTGTATGCTGTTGTTGTGTCCACAAGCATTACATCTGCCTTGTGTCCACTACAGCGTTGATGAGGCAAAGCGGGTAAAGCCATTCTCCCAGCTGAAAGCTCACAATTCCTGCAATAGCCTTCAACCACGGATAAACTAGGAAATGAATTAATAAGAAATAATGGTACAGTATTCAGACAAATGTAAAGTCTTGACACATTGTTCGGTATTATCATTTTAATTCATCCAACGCAAGCTGAGGATACAAGCACACTACCAGAACATTTGCAGTGATTCAACATTGTCTTACAGTCACTTTAGTTCATTTGGGTCTGACGCCACACACAGCTCACACCAGACAATACATGACATTATATTATAGCACCAGTTTGGACAGGCTGAACATGACCTCCTATCCAAACAAGCTAAATATGGACTTGTGTCTCTATTTGAGCACTGTTGCATTTACAACTACAAAGGGAAGGCTGTGATGGTGATAAAAACAATACACACATTACAGCAATTTGCGCAACTTTAAACTTTTTAACAGCAGCATTGTTTATAACCTTCAAATCCGTTCAAGTCCTGGCCCATTCTTTGTCCCGTAACACCTGGTAGCAGCCAATCCAGGTGATTATATATTATATTAATACTTGCAGGTTTTCAAATAATTTTTTCAGTTTAAAAGGGGAATTGGGAACCCTATGACACCATTAGAACTTTTGTGATTCGTTGCTCAATCCTTGACCTACCATTTGGGGTTACAAAACTAAGATGTCCTTTTCAGTAATGTACTTGATGTGACAAATGTGTATTACTACTATCACATGCATAATATCCATTAAACTATAATGGCCTTTGTATGTTAATGTGTATTGATTTGATTTACAAGCCAAGATGTAGGGTTTGCTAAAATGTCTAAATGTAACCAAAGATGGCCTTCTCCATGCAAGCTGTAGCAATATTATATTACAATTCATTGGTTGTCTAGGCAATCCAAATGATGAAACCAGATATCAAATCAGAACAATGAATTGAAGACCAGGACCATGACTGAGGCACTGTAAAAACTAAACCTTAGAACAGATTTGTCTTAGCACAATTATGTTTTACTCTCCCATCTAACATTCTACAATCATTTTTTAATTTTTTCTCAGGCATCTATTGAAATAATGCCCTGTACAATGCCCTTGTACACATGCTGAATGTATACTCATGGCTCTTCAAGTTAAGGTCAAACTAAACTTAGCTAAAATGTGCAAATGATGTGCTCAAAATATAAAGCTAGATTGTGTGTGTTGCTCCCAAACACTCTCATTACTGGAACGTGACTGCATTAGAAGAAGTGTTCATTAGAGTGAAGTGAACAGTGAACAACAAGGCAGCAAAAACAAGTCAACAAAATAAATTTGAAAAAGTGTCACCTTACAGACCTAATGCTTTGCCTCTGCCAGTCTATTACTCAGCTCTTTGCTCCTCTTTGTCACTACTCCTTCAGGTTTGGGTTCAGCAGCGCCTGTTTTCTTCTTGACTGACAGAGAACTAGAAATCTGCTTTTCTTTTGCCTTTTTCACCATCTTTCCTGTTGTTGTCGTTGGTGTCTTTTTAGGTTTAGCACGTGGCACTGGCTTGTCCACCTAAAAAAAAGATTAAAAAATGGTATTGAATCACATCATGCACAACCTTTAAATAATTAAATTTATTTAGATTAAATGACAGTGACTGGAATTTCTGTAACCTGGGGTGCTACTGGGAGTTTATGAAGTATGTTTTTTTCTTCTTGAATTAGATTAGTATTATTTTCATCTGTACAGAAAAAATTTAATAACATGCTGGTTATTACACTTAAAGGTCAATGGCATTTGCATGTGTCGAACTTATGACATTAGTGTAAATGAAGCTAAATAAAAAGCAAAACAGCACAAAGAGTGATTTTGTGCATTAAAAGTGGTTCATGCACTGAAGTCATAATAATTTCTTTATGGATAAATAATGGATATATTATGAGTCATTTCTGCTATTGCAGCTCAGTGTAGGACTGTGCAGAATTAAGTGGCATATTGATTATCTCTATGCTGGACACAGTGTACATACAAATGTATGGTTAATGTATGGTGTCACCAGGTACACACCTAAACAAACAGAGACAAAAAACATGTAGGCTATAAATCATACAATTCTTGTGCCGAAGACACAGCACAGTAACTTTTTATCAGCACATTGTGGCCAGCATTGTTCTACACATATTGTTTGCTGATGGATGAAATTTAGTAGTTAGTAGCCAATGCATAAAGACAGCATGCTATTTCTAAATAAGAAAGTTGTGTTGTTAACTTCATGTAAAATTCTTATTCTTGAAGTAAGAAAAGATAAATTTTAGTAAATTACTAAATTTACCACCAGTGGTATGCCCAAGTTTTATGCCCAAACTTCCACCATCATAGAACTGAGCAATCATCTTGAAATTGTGATTATTATATGTTTAATGTGGGGCTAAATATTGTGTATGTTAGCTTTCCTGATGTTGTGCAACCATCTTTGTGTTGTAGGACTATGATGTACTTGAAGGAGATGGGGCAGGGGTAAATAAAACACAGAGAACTGGACTGGATGTATGTGATATTAAGTGTGATATATATATATATATATATACTTTTTTTTTTTTCAATATACCCACCACCTCTGGCACTAATGTGACAAGTGTGTTAAAATTTGACTTAACCAGTATCTCATAAAAAACAACCAATATGTATCAGACTCTGAATACAGTGAGAGGTGGTGTGTGGTGGCCTGACAGATGAACAGTGAAGGTATCTTTTGGATAGGATACATTAGGTGACAGAATTGGAACATTTAAGTGCATACAGCTAGTATGCACATCTGTGTTGGACCAGTCTCCATGCCTTTAGAAGAAACAGAAAACACACCTGACTACAGCAGACCAGTCTCTGAGACGTCCTACAAGAATGAGACAGGGAGTGGCCATATGAACACTTCCAAACAGCAATTCATGTATTCTTATGTCATAATACTTTTTTTTCTGAAAATGGCAATGTGTGCAAACACTGAAGTTTGACAAATTAACCATGAAGAAATGCACTGACGTTACATCCAACTGAATGCAGGCTGTCCTCACCTTGCTGGGTTCACTGTAAAGGCTGCGTATCCTACGACGTTCCTGCAGCTTGTTGTCAGTGGGTTGAGACTTGACCTGCTCCCCTTTAAAAGTGGCACTGTAGCTGGTCTCCAGACTGGTCTCCTCCCCTGGTGGTTTATACTGAGAAGGAGCTTTGATGGGCTTGGCAGGTTTCACATCTTTGTATGCCTTAAACTCTGTCCTGTTAACATGGATATAAAACACAGAATCCTGTTACAGGATGTTGTTAAACACAGACACTGGCGCCGAGTGCACGAGAATAAATTACACTTGCCTCTTGTCTGTTTATTATTTTGTGTTCACTGTTGCTTGTGCCTTGGAATCAAATGTACATATTCTTTTCACTATATTGGCATTTTATTTCCATACGTAGGATATTGTCTAAAACATGATCTGATTTACCAAAGCTCATGTGACAATATCATATCCTTTGCATACAGCTCATTTGATTTTGTTTGATACTGTTGCTGCAATGAAGTTTTAATGTTTTGTTACATAGGCTACTACTTTTACCAGCCATAGGCGACCATATAAGGAACCAATTCATTCAATTTGTGGTATGTATTTAAGGTAAGTGGGAAATTGGATCCAAACTCTTTCCTTCATTCAGTTCCTCATTGATAGGAAGTGAGAGACGAGATAGGACAGAGATAATCAATTATGCAGCCCTTTCCTGCCTGCTGCTGATAGTGAGGGATGAAACTAGAGATAATCATCAATGAGCATATCTTCCAAATAAAGCAAGGGCCTCTACACCGACAGACACAGTGTATCTAATATAGTCTACATGGTAAATGTTGTATAAATCCAATGATTCGTGCTGTTCTAAACCACAAGTTTCCCATTTTACCTGTAGCTGCTGGAGGTGGTCATGACCTCCTTGATATGCCTGTTGAGTGCGTCTGCTGCCGCTCGGCCCTTGCGCTGCTCGGCGCTCACCTCTGCGCACACCTGGCTCTCGGATTTGTCCGCAGCTTTCCTCTCCTCGGACGGTCCCCTCTTCTCGGACGGTCCCCTCTTCGTACCTTTGGTTTCCTTCTCATGCACCTTCTCTTCTAACTCACTTTTCTCAGGCCCACTCTCCGCATCTGCGGATTTAGGAATCCAGGGATGGTCATGTTTCTTCGGAATGGGCCAGGGTTTGTAGTCCTTCTGGTACTGAGTTTCAGTGATGAACGGGGTCGGTGATGGTTGGTACTCGTTTCTGGGCTTGCAGCTGGGCTCAGGGCGCACTTTCCACGCCTTGAAGTCTTGGCGCATGACGGACGCAGAAGAGCCATCTTTAGCGGGCGGTGCCTTTGCGGTCTGCTCCTGCTCCCCAGAATAAGGCTGGGTTTCTATGGCAATAGCAGCGGCGCGGGTCGGCCTGGGCTGCGGATGATGCGCCACATGCTGCATCTCAGCCACATCCGAGTATTTGGTGAAAACCAAAGGCACAGCGATGTCCGCTTTGTCCAGCTCGCTCCAAAAGCGATTGATGCAGCAAGCACGCGTAATGCACGGCCATGCCATGATATAAAACAAATAATGTACAAAAAAGAAATGTAAAGTCGTACTTACAAAACTAAGACGGGCTCGTTTTCTTAGCGGTCACACAAAGCAGGCACGGGTTGAGTACAAATGCACTTGAGGTTTAGTCGTATGATGCACATTTGTGTCTGGCTGCGCATCTGAACGACCCCACCCACGTTTGCGTGATGCCTTCAAAATGTATGGGGTCTGCACAGTGAGCTTGCACAGTGAGCTTGCACCGTGAACTATCACCCGGGTTTGTCATCGTCTGGCCACGAAGAGAAAAGGCAGCTTTAACCCCTTGATGGAGGATACGAGGAATATTACAGCACAGACGTTTTAGAACATGCAACAATTCTCAGACACACACACACACAAAAAATATATTATTGCATAACTTTATACAATCATCTACGCTTGAAAAGACTTGAAAAGGTGCTAAGAATATGAACAAATAAGTCAAGTGCTTTTGGGCATAAAAAAAATACGTGATTGAGCATTTCCCCATTGCTACAATTACATACAGTATTTTCAATGGATACAGCCTAAAATTCCCAGCAATTAAAACAGACACCATATGTAAACAGTACACTACTCCCCACCTAGTACAGTTCAATAGCTAACAAACTGTAAACAAGTAAGTTGTTAGTTTTTGAGTAGTTTCAGTGTAATTAGCTGCTCCTTGCAGGCAGCTAATAGGCTGTGTCCACCAGCAATCTGACCAGAACAGAAGCAGCTTGGATGAGCTGTGAAACGTATTTAACCAAAAAACTTGTCCAGTTAACAAACTGAATTTCTCCTCTGCCACAGTAGCTTACTGAGTAAAATTATGTTTTAAGTTCATCTTCATTTCCACATTTTGACTATTCAATTCAAGTTATCTTTACTGGCAATAACTGCGTGAGTGCTCCCTCTTGTGGCATCAGAAAAGACTGGATTCACAAAAAGACACTAAGGGCATTTAACGATTTATTGTCAGTCAAAATTGGAAAATGTTTATGCAATTGAATTATAAATTACACATATCCACAGTTTGTGTGGCAAGTAATTAATTTCCTGTTTATATCTTTTTGCTTGGCACAATGTCCAGTGTCTGTGAAACATTTAATCATTTTGCTTCCTCTTCGGTTCCTTCTTCTGACTCTGCTCCGGGGTCTTCTTCCGGGTACAGTCTGCAGTATTTATCCACCATGACATCCAAATCATATTTGACATGAGTGTTTATGTTAAGCATGGCCAGACTTTTGTTCCACTGTGAAGAAGGCAAGCTGTCAAAATAGGCCTGCATTCGCTTCACAGCTACATTATTGTTCTCTGCCAACTTGAGCACTGGTAAAGTGGACAGCACCTTCAGGAAGGTGTTTACATTGGGGAAGAAATTGACATCAGGAAGCTGCAGCGTTTCGTGGATGGTGTTAGGCAAAGGCACCTCTTTGCCTCGATGTTTCCACTTGATTCTCCAGCAGTGCAGCTCAGCTGTGAGTGTATCTGAGCTGGGCAGGTCACTGCGATACACATCCGCATAGTTCTCCTCTGTTGTGTTGAACTTCAGCTGACCCATGATGCCTGGCACAAGTGAGAGACACTTTAAAGCCTTCAGGTTGTTCTCAGAAAACATGTCCTCCACTTCCTGCATGATGCCACACATAACGGGCATGGTGACATACTCTTTATAATATCCCTCCGCCTGGATTTCCCCTATCTCAGAAGTTCGCTGTTTACGAACAAACAGCCTTGGAAGATTTTCTTGGACACCCAAAAGGCCAGCCACATTGAGAGCCTCCTCATACCAAAACTCATGGTATACATCAATGTTATCGTTGACCTCATTTAATGAGTGTAGGACAGCAGTCAGGCTGTTGGCAGCACTGAACACATCAAGTGTTTCCCCCTGGAGATTCCGGCCAAAGGCTCTGGTGAATGTAAGAACGTTCTTTAAAATCACAACAGTAACTATAGTTTCAAAATCTGCCAGAGTCTCTGTGACTGCATAAGCATCAGCAATCACTTTGGCAGTAAATTTTCCATCATAGTTATCCACAATTGTTTCAATGCTGAGGACAAGTGGTGGTAGGACTTCTAAAAGCACATCAAAGATGTTATGTTGCTCCGTCCATCCAGATGCACAGTTTTGGATTAATAGATCAGCCTTCTCACTCTTCGGATAATACAAAGAGATGGCTTTATGAAGTTCATCTTGGGTGAAGGAAGCATCAAAAAGAGCCCTAATTCTTCTCAAAGTTTCCATAAGGTTTTGAACATTAGGAAAAGGAAGACTATGTGCCAAATGGATGTTCAGAGCAGTGCTGGAGCAGGGCATGTGTAGCATCAGAGGGTACTTCTCCATCAGTAAGACAGCTACCGCCTTCATCTTAGTGGACACTGACCCTGTGGCTTTATGAGCTTGGCCCCGACAGTCTTCCATGCTGAGGCCCCAGCGCTGAGTGAGTTGTGTCTCAAGCTTCTCCACAAGTGCAAACTCATCTCCTTCAAACAAGAGAAAATCCAAGAACTCTTCACGCAGTAGGTTCTGACTGACAAAACGCAAAAATACTGGCATGTGAATTTCTCCCGCAAATTCTACCAGTTCACCTGTGACTAGGGAGAAGAAGCGGCTCTCTCTGACCTCCAGAAGAATCTCCTCTCTGACTGTATTTTCACAAACATCCAAAAGTTGGTTCTGATGTGTTGATGAGAGGTATTCAGAATTGACAGCTGTGGCCTGGAAACGTTTGCGCAGCACTGTATCTCCAGCATTCATGCGCATATCAAGAAGGGACTGAAGATTGCTCATCTTGGGAGTGGAGTCAGACACTGGGTCATTTTTCAATGGGATGTTTTGTTTCCCCATCATAAGCATAATTTCAAATAGAGATCTGAGGTAGTCACGATACTCTTTCTCCTCAACAGAAATTTGGGGTTCATCATTGTTGCTCTCCTCAACTGTTGGTTCTTTTTTCACAAGTTGATCAATAGAGGTTACCACTGTAAAAAAAAAAAGAAAAAAAAAAGAAATAATACATAATAATAATACGTAATAATAATAATAATGAACAAATAAAAAAGAAACTTACACCGCCTTTCTTTAATCTTTTGTAAGTCTTCTTCAGTCTAAACATGAACACAACAAAACAGATTAAATCAAATTAAATGCAAAATTTAAATGTATTTATCTTCACAAATATCTAGTATTGCATAAACAACACGTTCTTTCTTACCAGTTCTTTGATTCTTTTGCGATGTCTCATGGTATTAGGATTCTTTAAGTGACTTGTCAGATCAAATATTGTGGGAATAGCGGTATCCTTTAAAACTGTTCTGTATGGGCTCTGGCAATTAAAAGTTTAGAAGACACAGTTAATGCAGATTTTATACATAACACTGAAGTAGAATGTTCAATGAAAGAATAGTAGTAGTTTACCGTTTTGTACACCATTGCTGGATCAAAATGTTTGGCACACAGTCTGTAGTGCTTATTTAGTTGGTCTGATGTTTTGGTCTCCAGATCTGCCCTGCGACAATTCTCTACCCAGAGTTTACACCTGCAAGACACAGAGAACAAACTTTGGGGTTAGAAATGTTACCGGTGAAATATTTTCATTAACCATGTGATGCTAAGATGATGTTTTCTCACCTCTCCGGATCCCGTGGAAACCGAAAAAATGCTAAGTCGGACTCCGTGCTCTTCCTTGTGCAGTTTGGGGCCGCGCAAAAATTAGGCATGTTTATGGCTAACGCGTTAGCTTGGCTAACACTATTAAAAGAAACTTAAAAGGCCTGTTGAACACAGCACATAGGCCTATGTAACACCAGCCAATCGCCGATGTATCGCTATGTAGGAAACGGTGAAAGTTACGCCTCTATATTAGTTTGGGATAGCCGTTTTTGAAGAGGTTCAGTTTAAGAATGGAGATAAATTAGTGCTCGGTGATCCCGCCTCTGGGTGCGGCTCTGATTGGTCGTTTTCGCCCTCTTCCTTAACTCGTTAGTTACCAAATACACCCAGTGCCATTGGTCAGGGATAAACGTCATTTCAGCCATAGTCGTGTGCGATTTGTTGGCTGTGCAAGAGGGGATAGAAGAGCACCTATCACACAAGCCCTACGATATTCGTCACTATGGTCAAAAGAAACCTTGCTGCGGCGCTGCACACTAAAACCTGCATTTTTCGCTATGATTTCTCCCAGTTTATTAAGTTATCTACTACGATATATGCTCAATGAAACGAAAAGTTTGTTTAGTCGACAGTTTTTAATATAGTCAATATTTCGATCGTCAACAAAGCAGTCCATTGTATGTCAAGCTGTCAGATGGATTGCCCTGTCAGTAATTTTCACTTTGAGGTTACAAATAATCACGATCAATGTGTTTTTAAGCACATAGAACCGTAATAGGTGTAAAGTGTATATTGTGGGAGCAATGGCGATATGGCTCGTTGGTCTAGGGGTATGATTCTCGCTTAGGGTGCGAGAGGTCCCGGGTTCAAATCCCGGACGAGCCCGTGTTTTTACCACTTTACAGGGCATCAAATTTCTGCTCTATCATTGTAGAACTCATTCGCGTGACCGACTTGGTTCTCCGCTCCGGGGTGGCCTGTGCCTATGGGCCTGTGCCATGATACGCATTCACGCCCATTATTAAAACAGACCGAAATATTAACCAGCCCAGGCGCTCGTTGGTCATGTTCATATTTTGGGGTGGAAAACGCAGTTGAGTCATGGATGGTTGAAAATATGGGAGCATTTAGGACGTTGCCAACATCAACCCACTAAAAATAAAAAATTACCACGGGCTCGTCCGGGATTTGAACCCGGGACCTCTCGCACCCGAAGCGAGAATCATACCCCTAGACCAACGAGCCTAACCACCAATTGGTCTCTCAAGTTGTTTTATAAATAAACTATGTATGAGTGATTATGGGTGTACAACTAAAAGTACATTAATGATTGTCTAAAAAACTTATTTTTTGTAAAACAGCAAAAAAGACACGCAGAATAATTCAATTAACTTCTTTTTATATATCATACATAAGACTGTCTTAATATAATACAAAGGGCATTGTCATAAACACAGCAAAGTCTTGACTAGATCTTACAATCTGTGGATACATGGACTTATCCTTTCCCCCATGCTGTTCAATTCTATAGTGCATGTTGCATGTACAACAAAAGTGGAAAAATGTGAAAAAATGAAAGGGAAACTTGAACTTAAATACGTATTTCAACTTCTATTGGGTGTTCAGATATGTCAACAAGAATGTGTTTGTGAAAAACTCACAAACTCAACAGGCTTATGAAAGATGGAACCTTTTTTCAACCATGTGCTTTTCATATAACCAAAAAGTAAGGTCTGTGATGTACATGCACTTACAATATACCCTGTGAAAATTATTAAGGTTTGAAGATCTAGCTTTCCCTGTTTGATTCAAACCCTACCTCATAGTGTTGTCCTGATGTAGTCAAGTACCTTTGCCAAAAGGCAAGGCTTTGCCACTAAGAAAACAGGAGTTCCTGCCCACTGAATGGTCACCAAATTGACAAACATAATCAACATACCAGCAGGAGCAAGGTAGTGAGTTCTATACTTCCTTTATTAAAAAAATATAAATATATACATAAATTCTATTTCAACTATTAAAAAGGGGCTGCATTTCATGACAACTGCTCTAAATAAGAGGTCAATCAGCATGATCTGAAATAGGCGCACACTTACTAGTCACTGCAGTCAATTTTTTTTATTTTTCAGTCTTTATTTATTTTTGGAATGTTTAGTACCAGTATGAGAGCCAGCAGTAAAATCACTGGCCAATTCTAAATGTGTCAAATTCAGTGGGGTATGAAAATGATTGCAAATTTGCAATTAACCTTGACATCCAGATAAACCCCAATCTCAATAGGTAGCTTTACATTTGTGTTTGTGGAAATACCAAGCATGATTTCTTGTTGATGTTTCTCCTTCAAAATGACAACAGCATGACCTGTGGCCTGCCCTTTATTTGAAAAGTAGTGGTAGGCAGGATTTCTTTATTTCAAAAAACTGGTTAAATGAGCAACAGAAGACAGAAAGCACTTGAAAATCCCTGATATAACAAAAAATATTGACTATGTTTGAAGAACATGCACGTCTGCCTGGGCAAAGCATGTTGACTGTGGGCTGACGGACTTCCCTTTCCCTTTGAATAGGACAACAATCAAGGGGATCTGCCCTACCATTTCAGAGCAATACAACTCAACTCAAACTGATTTGCCACAATTATCCTTACCCTGCCAAGACTTGTTTCTCAGCATTTAAAAGCCTAGTTGACCAGATGATGTATGAAAGGCAGCACAACCCTTTGAAATAGTATGATGGGGGCAAAAGAAAGACGACAACACAGAAATAGAACGCATTAGTCTCCTTTTTTTAAACCATCAGATTCTATGTTGCTACTCCGGAGCCTGCAGAGTAACTACCAAATTCTCTAACATACCAAAGATTTAAAAGACTCCCAAAATAATCTACCAATTAATATGGAAACAGTTTTGGTAAAATGCCAAAACAATTTTGGCCAGAATACACAATAGCCAACGGTCTCAACAACGGTCTCCAGTTTTGCTAAAGTAATATATTGCAGCTGTTTGTATTGACGTTAAAATAAGATCTTGATAAACTTTGCGTCAAAGTGGTGAACTGCTACATTATTGGTTACAGACACCTATATGCTATAAAACAACTGCTTTGGTATAAAAACATATCCAAAGGGAAAATAAATTCTTGTAAAATTCACAGCATAATTTGAGGAGAAAAAAGGCAGTCACTTAACTCATTTTTTTCTTCAGTTTCCATGTTTTTTAGATGGAGAGACTTGTGCAGGTGGTTCTGATGAGGAACTACATGCAAAAGGGGAAAATAACCAAACATAAAAAGGTAGACTCTGGAATAGATAGTTCTTTCCACTGCAAAATTTTAACCAGTGAGTAAGATTTTCAAGGAAGTAATGTTTAGGAGGTTGTTGTGTACAATAAGACCCTGTTATATGGGGCCCTGCTGAAGAAATCTTGTTGAGAAAGGCCTCAAATTACCATTCTTATTTACCTTTTCTGTGTTGTTTTAATTTCCTTTAAGAATTAAGGGCTGTCTGGAGAGAAAAATAGAGAAAAGCCATCTTAATTCAAATCATAATGTCCAGCTCCATCTCGTTCCAAGTCCCAGAGTCATAAGGCCAAAGGGTTATCTAAGAACCAGCCACTGACTGTCTTCCATTCACTGGGCTGGATCCTTACGTCTCCCATGCCCACTGCTGCTCTCATCTGTGCGCGGCCCAGCCCGGCCCGGTCGCGGAGCCCAGGACTGCAGGACCACAGGTCTCCCGGCTTTGAGGGAGGTGCTTCCCTCTCCATTGACCTCGTGGTGTCAGTATCCACCTGCGGCATCCGGCCAGCACATGCTGTAGGAATTCCGCTGCTATGTGTTCCCCTTTAAACAAGAGTTACACAATACCAAGACCAATACAAGAAATATCACTGCAACACTTCCCCTCATTGTCAAGCTACAGGATTTACGAGCAGCTTTTGTGAAATTTCACTTAAAAGGGCAAAATAATTGAGAACCAGTGGAACAGTAATGTCAGGCAGTCCACGGTCAGAACCGAAAGAGAACGCCAGGCATTTTATCACCAACAACTACTGGCAGAACAGCTTGAACCTTTACTCTGAAATGCTCTATAGAAGATTTTGCCACATAACACCATATGGTGATTACTTGGTGGTTACATGAAACTGGTGAAATGGTAAGATGGATGTCTCAATCTCACTATGGTTATTCTGCAGTATTATTTTGTGCCTAATGATTGAAATAAAAAAAAAATTAAAAAAAGGAAAAAAAAGAAAAAAAAAAATGGATGAAAATTACATATATACTTTTTAACAAAAGGTTTTTCTCTGCAGTAGCGGTTCAGTGATATCTCCCTTCTGACGTGAGCAGCTTTTGTTCTCAACACACCTTGTAGTAAAAAACACCACCTTAAAAATGACGCACAGGGGGAACACACAGCCAAATGTCAGTGCAGTCACGAGCTGGCCATCGAACTCTGCTGCACACACACTCCAGTCATTGGAGACTCCTCCCGGTCCATGCCCTGCCTCATGCCCAGGTGGCCCTCCGCTAGATAGTGGGCAGGCCCTGTGTTCGTGCCCATGGAGAAAGCAGGGTGCGCTGCCATGCCAGTCTCCTGCCGTGGGTTCGAGAAGGCACCTAGCCCCATGCTCAGCCCACCATTCTGACCAAAGTCAAGAGCTCCCGCAGGCAAATGGCGGAGCTGGTAGGCCTGGTTGCCATGGTTCCCAGTGGAAGAGGACGATGTGGAGGAAGAGGAGGCAGAGGAAGACAGGGAGGTCATGGACAGATGGCCGTGCACCACCTCCATGGAGTCCTGTGTGGAGGAACTGTGTGTCGGGGACGTGTAGTGACGCGGGCGCGGCCGCGTAGCCATCATGGGCCCGTGGTGGTGATGAGTGTGTGAGTGGGGGTGCAGAGCCTTCGGGTGCTGAGGGGGGACGTGGAAGGTGGTCTCCTGGACAGGATGGGTCTCACCGGTGACAGACTCTGGACCAACCCCTCCTCCCCACACCAGTGGCGGTGGATAAGGCTGCCTTGTCTGCAAAAGGAAAAAGTCTGGCATCAATTCCCTGAAAATAATTCAATATGTTCACAGGCACATGCTAAAGCTAAGTTTACAGCAAAGATTAGCTACAGTACTAGAGAATGTGTGTTGACGTCTGACCTGTGGGCAGAGGCTGTCACCATCGATAGCAGGCATAGTCGTGCCAAAGTGTCCTCCACTGTGCAAGTGGTGATGGGTAGGGTCTGATCTTGCTCTTCCACTTGTACTTGTCCCAGATGATCCACCTACACATAAACAACATTAACAAGATGAAAAGTATACCACGTTGGTCTCTTATTAGTTGAGCACATTTCAACTCAAAACTTTGTTGATTTGAGCTGAATTGTGCTGAACTAATAAGCACAATTACGAAGTTGTAGTAACAGTTACCTGAACTTGAGGAGGTGCTGGAGGTGGTTCCTGACGACTGGGATTGCTCTAGTGCAGGGCTGGTGGACACGCTGCTGCTCGTGTTGGTCCCCTCATCTGCAGTTTTCTTGAAGAAACTATGCTGCAGAGCATAGTAGGGCTGGATGCGGCTCTTAGGATCATAGTCCAGCATCCGGAGGATCAGGTCCTTGAACTTCAAGTAGTCAGCGACAGCATGGCCAGACTCCCCTGCTCGTCTGCCACCTGGGCCCCCTGTCTCCACACCCAGGATGGAGTGCAGCTTCCTTGAGGCTGGAGGCTTATACTAAAGGAGAAAAAAAAAGATCTGATTCTCAGGTCATGTCAACAAAACATGTACAACAAACCCAGAAATACGCTTACCCTTTTGCCATCTTTGGTCTTCTTAACACTCCATGTCCCATCCGAAAGCTTCTCAAAGAACTTCCTGGCTTTTGGGGCTAGGTCCATAATGTGATTAGGAGGGATGCCAAGAACCTCGACTATTTTGTTCATCTGGTCCACCTAGAAAGTTTTGAAATTAATCTTAATTGAACAGAGGCCAACCCAATATTTCAGGAATAAAAACAAATGCAGAGTAAAAGTGTATTCTATTTCCATGTATTTCCATCTACCTCATTAGCTCCACTGAAGAGGGGCTCTCCTGTATGCATCTCCACTAAAATGCAACCCAAGGACCACATGTCAATGGCCAAATCATAGGGCATTCCCAGCAGCACCTCTGGTGAGCGGTAGAAGCGACTCTGGATATACTGGTATATCTGAAAATAAATATACACTATGTAACAGTAGTATGCACTGCATACAAATTAGAAATACATCCTCATACATAGCGATATATTAAGTTTATAGTAGAACGCAAACACAAATACCCTTTGTCCTAGTTGGCATGAGCTGCCAAAGTCCACTATTTTGATGGCACTCCTCTTGGGATTGCAGAGTAGGATGTTCTCCGGCTTCAGGTCACAGTGGATGATGCTGAGCTCAGGTGTGGCCAGGAAGAGCAGCGCAGTGCATAGCTGCTGGGCAAACTTCCGGGTGAGATTTAGTGAAACTCCGCGGAAGTTGGTATTTCGGAGCAGGTCGTAGAGGTTATATGAAAGCATTTCAAATACTAGACAGAGGTGGTTCCGAAACATGAAGTGCCGTTTTAGATGAACTGGAAAAAAGTGAGGAAAATTACAATGTGCAAAATTTACACATTCAATATAAAGTTATCTATTTAGAGATTTAGTTACCAATGTAATATTTCATCTCGGTATCATGTTTGTTCATAAGCTCAAGGAGGCGCACTTCAATCTGGGCTTGATTGAGGAAAGCTTTCTTGTTCTTAATGATCTTGATAGCAACCCATTCCTGCTCTGCACGGTCATATGCCTTTACAACCTGTAAAAAGCAAAATTTCTAGATTTAATATCTTAAAACTAAGTGTTGCATTAGCCATTGTTTAAAAATTAAGCACCTGTCCGAATGACCCTTTTCCTATCAAGGAATCAATCTCATAACGGTCCATCCACTTCTCCCCATTCTTGACGATGTAGTCATAGTTATCATCGTCATAGCCATCATTGAAGACCTTCCTCTCCTTTTTGTGACTAGAGTCTTCACCCTGACCCTGTTGGTGCCGTCGTTTCTTTTTTGCATAATACACCTAAAAATACACACAAACAATTTCTCAAATACTCATATATATATATATATATATATACATATATACACACACACACACACACACACAATGCTGTACAGAAGCAATAATAATAATAATAACAAACCTCATTGATGTGTTTGTATGTTTTGATAAGGTCAATGGAGAGCTTCCTCAGGGGAGCTGAAGTTGGGTCACGAAAGCACTGGGGCATGTGCCTCTGAAGAGCGAAAAAAAGTGCCACATGGTTTTGTTAAAAGTGTTATAAATGTTCACAAACACAAACTTATAATCTGCACAAACTTGGTGCATAAGACACAAAATAGGAGTTGTCTGTCTTCATATATGATGGTACCTGATTGGCAGTGAGCTGTGGTGTCTGGTCGCTGTACGGTAAGACCGTAACAGATTGGTCAGTGCTAGGCTGGTGGCGGTCACTGTACTGCTGGTGCGTATGGGGCATTGGAGCAGCCATCTGAAGACCAGCAGTGTGTAAAGAAAAAGAGGGCGCAAGCCGGACGGACGAAGGTTTGCATGCTGAAGTCTCTCCTCCTTTAAGAGAGGAAAAATGCCATCAGTTAGATTTTAAAACGTTAAAAGTCAAAGCATGAAATTATGTGGAAAAAAATAATAATAATAAAAAAAATATATATATATATATATTTTTTTTTTTAATCAAATAATAATTATTGTAAATGGTGGAAGAATTATTATTGTATAGCATAATTATTTGTTCAATATTAATAATGTATTATAATAAAATATATGAGCAATATACAAATGTATAATATAGGTGCATAAAAATATTTCTAAAGTTATTTATCAGCATATAAAAAATGATAGGAACATGGGGAAACAGCATGCCAATATGTTTTACTAAAGAAATGTCTGTTAAAACATGGTGAATCTTGAAAAACTCAAAAATATACAAATATGCAAAATATGATAGACCAAATATATTGAATATACCAGTAAGATATTAACCTTTATGAAGAAAAAGAAGAAAAACAGCAGATCTAACAGTGAAAAGGGGTGAAGGTAAAGCATCTCCACATTGTACAGTGAATCATCCTTCATTTTAAGCCAGAAGGAATCAAAAAATTATTAAATAGCATGTTCAGCTATCAGCATCTCTCACCAGACAACACAATTCACCAGCGCTACACAGTAACCACTATTCAGAATCCCAGCAACAGCACCTAATTAGCATAGCCTATCACCACAGAGATACAGCGTGATTTGGCAAGCCCATCAATGCACAGACCAATCACAACGCAGTATGCAAATAGCCTACTTTTGTTGCCAGGGCAGAGCTGCTCCCATTTTCCAATGAGAAAACAAGAAATAAACAAGAAATAAAATTGAACTTTGGCACACTTAGACGTTTCTTTCAACACAAGAGCCTGACAGCAAAATAGCTGCACAGCCCAAAACCTGCACTCTATCTGAAAGCGTTAGAAAGCTGACCTAGCTTTGGAAAAGGAAAAAATACACATCCACAGACAGAAATAAGAGAAGCTGTAAGATGATAAGAGCACGAGCAATGGCCGTGTTTTGAGGAGAGCAGCACAGAGCGCTAATTCTTTTTTTTTTTTTTTTTTTTCCTCCTTCCGTTACGAAAATACTAAAATTATGTTTATGTACAAATTATAAATATTAAATTAACTATATTAAATTACAGAGATATGTCGATTATATTTTAAACATTAAATACAATTGGTTAGAGACATCATGCATTTTATTTTATTTTATACTTATTCTGAATAAAAGAGTACAAATGCTAACTTAGGGTTAAGGCTGAATACATAGCAGCTAACCTGGATGCATCTTCTCCAGCTAAATTTCATATCATCCTGGGAAGAGAGTCCAGCAGCAAACCACAACACACTACAAAGAATAAAAAAGATTATTGTAATAGAGTACCTATATCAAATCTTAATTTTAGCGTTTATTAACTTTTATAAAAGATTCGCCAAATTGAAGAAAGAGTCCATCTTGTTTTGGGTTTCATTTCCAAAATCCGACAAAATAAAAGTAGCAAACTGCTAGTAGTAAAGAGGTTGCTGTTAGTTAGTAAAACAAACAAAGCTTATAGATTCTTAAAGTAAGTTAAACAAGGTCTTTAACAACTAGTTTAACATAACAACTCAAATTTATAAAAAACGAGAACTCTCTCCCAAATCCATTTTATATGAAGTATTTAGTTCCAAAACTCTGACATTACTTTGAATAAGTATGTCAATAAAACAAATTAAAGCTTTAGATTTAGATATATTTTGTGGAGTGTAAATATAAAGATTCAGTATTTGGCGATTTTGCAAAGGAATTATGCCATTTGCACTTGCAGCTCTGTATTGTCTTTTTTCCCCCGATTTTCAGTACCGACAAATGAACAGTTCCTTTCCGCGGCATCTACAGGCCTATTTCGGTGTAAATATAAAGACTACAGCTAGCCTGCTATCCGTAGCCGAGTTGTATCATATAAGATATGGTTATATATTTATTGTAACCAACAGACATCTGTGTCACCTTCTCACACCCAAATAATCAGACCCTCTAAAAATGAGCGCAAACGTACGACATCCACAACAATTACAAGCCTCTGTATAAAGACGCTGTACTTACAGAAGATGGGGTAGATCTCGTCATGGTTGAGATTTAGAAAGCATATTCAGGGTTAATGTGTATCCTCTAGCTACATGTTGTCGGCGTATACCTCCAATTCGTCTTTAATCGACAAGTGCTGTGTTACCCTTAGCTCCCTAACTAAGGCTAAAGCTGTTGTCGTTCAGTAAAAACTGCGGGACAGGCGAGCATACATCTCTCACCAATCCAGCGTTAACCTTAGCAAGTGACGCTGTGCTGTGCAGCCAGCGGGTTGTGGGGCCCATTCAGCTTCAACAAGTCAGCCTTAACCATTAGCCAGGTTTAGCCCAATGTGCTACACAGTCTTAACACAGGTTAAGACAGTTTGAGTTGCAACTCTCCATAATCCAATATTTATGTTCACAAACATAAATACATATTTTTAAAAATCCATATTCACTGTAATCTGTGAGCCCACCGTACAATGACAATGTCTGATACAGCTGGGTCGTGTTAGCTGTAACCAATGCCAGCATGACACCAGACAAACACCAGTTTAGGGTACCTCTTCAAACTGTACAATCTATCTCAATGTTCATCTCAACACGGTCCATGATGTTTTCACTTTCAGTAACTAGCCAAGTAAGGATGGTGCCACCATAAAATAGGAGCTAGCCGAGAGTCCGTAAGCTACTAACTTCACTGTCGCGTCCATCATTGTTAGACACAACATGTAAAAATACGCGTGAAAGAATAGAGTGAGTTACGTGCTGCTAAAGCAATACAACTATATTTCTTAAATGCTCACCTCTGATGGCACGATCTTCATTTAAAGTCCAATAACCTGTATGATGAGGAAACTTATCCAGCTTGAGACTCTCCCCTCCCTGCTCCCCGTTTAGCGAGTAATTTTAATCCAGTTTTTTCAAAGGCAAAGACCAAAATTATTTGCCAGTTGGATGTAATAGGCTCTTCATGTCTCCAGTTTTGATGGACAATGCCGATGGTCGAAGTGTCTTTGATTTAAGCTACAATCAGCTGATGACTAATAACATGCTAACTACCACGAAGAACTCACTGGCTAACCTATGAACGCGGCTAACGTTAGCTACTAGCTTTTGCTAACGATGTAGCTTTGGTGGCTAGCCCCAAGCTAACAATTCTAGCCGACGCTAAATAAACGATATACCAAATTATAATTTAACGTCGTCTCTGCACATAAAACGCTAGTCGCTTCGAGTCAGATGTCAATACAGTCGAATCCAGAGTAATCCAAATGTGAAATAGAATCCGTGTCCTCTGATAATTTTGGTCAAGAATTTTGTGTCAATTTTCACAAAATGGCGCGCGGTCCAAACCTGCGCAGTGAACCGGCCCGGCGGACCACAGACACGGACAACTGAGTTAGAGCGGCGCCGCCTAATAATTTGAACTGTGTTAAAACGTTGGCCTCTTGATCTTCTTAATCCGATCCACTAGACGCATTTCGTTATTCAAAAACGTCAAATGTATATCCACTGACAGCATTATTCCGGCGGGAAGGGAGAACATTTGAAAAGACTGAGCTGGGGGGGAAAAAAACCCTCCTGACAAAATGGCGATGCTCTAGCTTGTTGCCATGGCAACTGTCAATCAAAAAAAACAAAGTGCCCGGATGTACAATGACGAATAAATCTAACTGGCCAGAGTTCCAAGGCGCATAAAACTTTATTTTTCTGCACCTTTTAAATGCTGGTCGAAGATCACCATCGTAGTTGCCGTCAGACTAAATAAGTATGAACAACTACATGTTCCCTCAAAGTAATTTAGCGGTGTTCCTAAACTGTGTCTTTTTCTTCTGTTCTTTCAGTGGTTCTCAAACGGTGGCAAGAATACCATTACCATACATTTTTCCTTTGATATCTTTTTGTTTATATGCTAAAAAAAAATTAACAGGTTAGTCGTGAATATTTTAGACTTGGTGAGCCATAGGCTTAGGCGGTGGCATTGTGTGACCATTAGAACCACTGTTCTAAACTAAATATGATTTAGGTGCTTGGAAGTCAATATTTTACCAAATAGGCTAGTCATCAAAATTAACACAGCCTTAATATAGCCTATAGTGAAAACTTCTAATTGAATCAACAGTCAGAATCACAATAATTGCCATTGTCTGTGAACAGTTTTACATTGTCACTTTGGTGATTTGCTGCATTGAACATAAAGTAATTATGATAAGTTTTAATAGGAATAAGAAGCAAAAGAAAATGGTTGAATGGATGGATAAATATAATAAAGCATCCTGTTTATTATTGATACATGCAAAGAATTAAAAAATATACAATATGGTTAATGTTAAAGTTTGTTCTTTAAAGTGACAGGTATGGATGTATTATGGCAGAGGGGTATAAACTGTTCTTGTGGCAAAAAAAAAAAAAAAAAAGGTTCTGGTCCAAATGGCACAAATAGTATGTGTCCAGGGTGAGAAGGGTCAGCTGCAATCCATCCTGCTCACACCCAAGTCCTGGAGTCGTGGGTGGCCTACAGGTCCTGGAGAGATGGGAGGCTGCAGCAGATCACTCTCTTAGCGGAGCATAGTCTGTGTGTATCCCTGTCTGTGCAGTGTACCATGGCTATGTAGAACAACACCATAGTCTGGGCTTGCAGCATAACTTTCCTCAGCTGCCACAGGAAGTGCATCCACTGCTGGGCTTTCTTGACAAGGAAGCTAATAGTTGGTTCCTACTTGAGTTCCTGGGTGATGATCGTGTATAGGAAGCAGGGATTCCAGATTTGAGTTTAAAGTGTAGGAGCTGGATCTTATGCTCTGAATTTTCTAAATATGTTTATTTTATTATAATAGAAATCAGAAGTTTTATTGTCATTGTCTGTGGCAAAATACACAAATTAAGAATTAGTTTCAGTGGTGGTCCCGCTCTTTTAGAAAGAGGACTGGAGGATGTGTTGCAACTGGGTCATACTCTTGGCTCAACCTTAAGGTCTATACTATACTGGAGAGGAGGATGGACAATTGACAATACTCAGTGTGTTTTCATCTTGATTGGGGAACATTAACACGTTGTACCTTATCTCAGACACATGAATGTTCATGGGAGTTTGACTTATTAGTCAATATGTTGTAGGTCAGGAGAATGTGTTTGACTATGTCCTGCGTACATAGCTCCCAGATGCTGTACCAGTTGTAGGGCGTCCAGGGCCCATTCATAAGTATGTGTAGTCCCTCTATGACTGAAATAGGAACTTGGTTCACAATGCCATAAGTAAGACCTGTTCGCAATGTGCTTTAGAATCCCGGGCTGATCTTTACCAGTGCTGTTCATACCTGACCCACCAAGGTTTAGAAGAAGTCCACTTTTGTAAACATATGTAAACATATTTTGCTTTTTGCAGGTTATGTTGTTATATGTTGGCCTCAACAGACTTGAAGACATGCACAGGTTGTTGCAGCATAAAGTGGGATATATCCCCCTAACCTCAAGGACCAGTGACCATCCATGAGAAGGAGTAAGGATACCAATTCAGACCCCAAACTACAAAGTATTGAAAATCCGATACTAATCAATACTAAAACTTGTAAATGAACCTTTCCTGAATATCTTTAGAATTATCTCTAATTATATGGCCTCTAAGACCATGGACCACTATGGCACATACCTGAACTACTTGAGGGATAACACATGGTAATATAAAAGTACTACTACAACTACTACTACTCAGTTTGGTTACCTATGGTCATGAGATCTTATTGCTCTTCTTTTCTTTTCTTTTTTTTTTTTTTACATGTGAACATAGAGCTCACCCCCACCTGGGGAGTTGGAGGAAGTGTGCATGGAAAAGAAAGTCTGGAAAGCAGTCAAAATACATTATTATATGCACTTGTGAGAACAATATTATATTGGAGCACAATTTGAAATGATTATATAAAGATTAGTATATTCAGTGAGATATTGGAAATTGGGTGGGACTGTCCCAAACTACAGCCTGTTGCCGAGCAAAATGAGAGGACACCATTTGAAATTGGATAATTATATTTTATCCCTGTAAGTAATTACACAAGGTAGGAGGTTTAACATCTGTATGACTCCTACTATACAATATGTGTCCTCATTCAAGAAGAATTGTATTTTATTTTCCATCCAATCAAGCATAAGCCTAAGGAGCCATTAGTGCGTCAGAGGCATTTATAGTGCCTGAGACCTGAGACAGACGTGTTGGTGCCGTGACAGCTGGGTACTAAAAAGGTCACTATTTAGGCTACAAATAAGGCTGTAAATTTAGTTTTACGCCTGGTGTAAGACTGATCCCACAGGGCTCAGAGGTGATTAGAATAGCCAGTAATTCTACTCAGATAAGAGTAAGTTACCTCAAAATAATTAGTAGCAAAGTAGTGGTAATAATAACAAAATTATTCAAGTATGAGTAAAAACTATTTGGGGAAAAGATTATACTCAAGTAATGGAGCTCAACAGTGACTGCTCGCTATTAGATGTTTAGAAAAATTCAACGGCAGTTACGCGGTAACTAATATCAATAATGTGGTTGTTTTAAGTCCAAAAAGGGAGTTTAAACCAAGATTCTGTGAAATGTTTTTATAACTTTGTGATTTCTAAAGTTTCAGAAACTAATTTTAAGTTAAATTATAGGTCTTGTGGTCACTTGTTACCACATAGCTGATTATCCTCGAGCAAGCTTTCGAAAGTCTACAAGAAAAGTGAATGGGGAATTTAGTTCAGGAACCTGGGGGTGGGCGGTCACTGATGAACTCCATAGTAAAAGTAAAAGTAGTCTGTAAGGACAAAACCTTCTATAATATACAAAGCATGACTGTCAAAGTTTACACCACAAAAATAAGAAAATGGGCATATCAGTGATATAAATGTTTTTGTTATTGTACCATTGGCAAATAACAGAAAACAGATTAGGAGCTGTAAGAAACATAAACCTTCAAATTATTGAAAATATAATAAAGCCCTTTTCCATCACAGCAAGACTATATCTTAATGAATATAACACCAAGTTGCATTGAACTTTTAGGGCTTCACAGGTTATACATGTATAACGAGCAGAACTCCTTAAACCTGCTCCTCTTGAAATTGTCAGTTATTTGTTTTAGTTAATTGCTTCCAATATGAAAACACAAAGATGAATCAGATGGAATGAACAGTGAATAATCAGATCGCTGTTGGAATAAGTTGACCAAAGAAAAACATACAGACCACTTGTTGAGGCACAAAAGCTTCATCCCAAATCCTGTACCCTGACACTGTACATGAGCCATAAAGAAAGAGGCCGAGGACTGATGGGTGTGAGAGCCACTGCCTAGAATGAAAGATCCATAAGCTCATCAAGGAAAAGACTCCAACAGAATGTCTAAGACAATGGAGAACAGAGGCTGAAGGTACCATCATGGGAGGATAAGCCCTTATGGAATGTACCATATCAGAAAATTCAATTGCTAGAAAGTGTGCTGAGGCACTCTTCATGGTTGCATAGGAGAAGCACCAGAAGCTCTAATCTGATATACTACACCAGACAAGACCCTAGGTGTAGGTGCACAGGTACATGTGAATAGTATATGGACTAGAAACCTGAAAGTTCAAGTGGGAAACACCTCCAAAGGTGGCAGAAAATAACTGAGTCAATATCATGTGGGACTTCCAGATGCAGAATGGTAACGACAGTGGACAAACAGATGACTGTGGTTGACCTGCACTACAAAGTGATAGCATCAGGAAAAAGGAACTTAAGAGACTAGAGAAATACCAGGGGCTCAGAGAAGAGCCCTTGGTAGGTCCCCATGATCATCAAATCCCAGGAAAAACATCAGACATCTCAATGCAGTACTAGCAAAGATACTGCACAGAACAACAAGCTCACAGGCCTCTGGTAGAGTAGTTACTTGTGCTTGGATTGATGAGACCACCCATAGAGGGTGAGTATATATTTTTGGAAGCATTGATAATGTATATAATTTTATATTAATTTTACACTTTATTTATCAAATAATAGAGCAGAGAGCTAGTTTACACTCAGTAATGACTTCATCATTACTTTTTGAAACATCCGGCTTTGAGACATCTGGCATAAAGTATATAAATAAGATTAAACTACAACTCACTAAAATCATTACACACTTTTTGATAATAGGGAATGAAAACTGTTGACAAACAAAGATATTTAAAAACAATATTTATCATGGCTGTTAAGTTGTGATCAGTTCAAAAGTACTAAATAATGTAGAACAATCTTTTCCAAAGTCTGTTGTGCACTCTTCCCCCTATCGATGCAAAGATCACAAAGGGCCTCTATATCGTTAATCATCATATAAATCTAACATATACATCTAAGGAGATTTATATGTTAAAACTATACAGTCCTATGGGTGTAATATTAATAAAACATTGTATGTTAAATTTCTATTTTCTTTCTTGCTTGTTTTGTAGCTAACCTTTGAGGGCCTTCCTGCAATGCTTCGGAGGCCCCCCAGGGGTCTCCGGACCCCACTTTGAGAACCACTGCTGTAGAAGTATAAAAGGTTGCTAATCTAAATGCAGCTACCTTGTCTCATCACTAGGGGATGATAAACAACATCTTTTATCGTGATAAAAAG